AAAAGCAGAGCAATCTCAGAGGTTCGGTATGGGTTTAGGGCCTTGGAAGGACTTGATCACTGTGTAAAGATGTAGCTTGGGAGGGGTATGGATCCACAGTGATGAGGGACCAGGGAAAGCCCAGGAAAGCTGGACTTCAGTGGGCAGCAGACCCAGAAGTTGGATAAGTAAGTGAAATCAACCAAAATCTGGTGAGTTTGGTTTAAGAGGGGTATCCAGCGCTCTCTTGAAAGAGATTAAAGAAAATATAAGAATAGAGTCCATATGGTTCAATGGTTAAAAGTATTGGCTGGAAGACAAAGAAGCCAGTCCCGATGAGACCTGATAGACTAAGGTCAGATGGAAGGGGAGGAGGACCTCCCCTATCACTGGACTGGGAGAGGGACATAGGAAAAGAAGAGGGAAGGAGGGTGCAATTAAGAGGGGATGGAAAGGGGGCTACAGCTGGGATACAAAGTGAATAAACTGTATTTAATAAAAATAAAAAAAATTTAAAAAGTATTGGCTGCTCTTCCAGAAGACCTGAGTTCAATTCCCAGCATCCACATGGCAGCTCACAACTGTCTAAGCACTCTCACACAAAAATACAGTCAAAATATCAATCCAAAAGAATAGAGTCCATAGGCAGATCATAGCTGTGGCTATAAGAGGGAAAATAGAGATGATGCAGACAGTGAAAAGGGTATTTCAAATTAGGTGATTAGAGAGTGTAGTTGGATCTTGGGAACAGGCAGGCAGTACATGGCCTGCAAGGGGAGCCACTGCCTAGCCCACCCTTGCCTCTACGTGCTCCCTCTATGCTCTTAGCTGAGTGTCCCAAAGTATTTACTGTGAAAAAAAAAAAAATAGAAACAGAGGGGTGAAGTAAGGATAGCAATGAATGAAGCCAACGTTTATAATACAAGAGACGTAAAAGAATGTTAGATGTTCTTCCTTCCAGGTCCAATCATTGACAGTGACAGTGGCTAGTCTTACTGCCAGGAGTGCTACACCAAAGTATGCTAGCAGAATCAACAATAGGCTACAGAGCAGAAGACTCAACAAGTAGGAAGAGAATTGGAGAAAATTGAGAACCGATGTAACGAATTGTATCTGACCACTCACCAAAGTTAAATCAGTATCAGATAGCCAATTTAAACAGACCCATAACGCCTAGTAAAGTAGAAGCAGTCATTAAAAGTCTCCCAACAACAACAAAAAAACAGGGCCATACGGTTTTAGTGCAAAATTTTACTAGACCTTCAAAGAAAAGTTAATGCCAATTCTCTTCAAATTATTCTATAAAATAGAAACAGAAGTGACATTGCCCAATTCATTCTGAGACCTAAGTCACCCTGATACCCAAACTACAAAAAGACCCAACAAAGGAATAAAATTACAGACAAATTCTCCTTATGACTATAGATGCAAAAATACTCAATAAATAAAATACTAGCAAACAAAATCCAAGAACACACCAAAAAAAAAATCCACCATGATCAAGTAGGTTTCATCCCAGAGATCCAGGATGTGGAGAAAGAGAAACACTCCTCCATTGACGATGGGAGCACAAACTTGTACAGCCACTATGGAAATCAAGATGGCAGTTCCTCAGAAAGACAGAGATCATCTACCTCAAGATCCAGCTATACCAGTCTTGAGCATATACCCAAAAGACACTTCATCCTACCCCAGGGACACTTGCTCAGCCATGTTTATTGCTGCTCTATTCAAAAGAACCAGAACCTGGAAACAACCTAGATGCCCTTCAACAGAAAAATGGATAAAGAAAATCTGGTACATTTACACAGTGGAATACTACTCGGCTCTTTTAAAAATGGCATCATAAAATTTTCAGGCAAATGGATAGAACTAGAGAAAAAAATCAACCCGAGTAACACAGATCGAGAAATATACTCACTTATAAGTGAATATTAGCCATTAAATAAATGATAACCAAGCTACCATCTGTAGACCCAGAGAGGTTAGGCATAGAGGAAGGACCTGAAGCAGGTAGGGGAAGGGGAAGATGACAAGACACATAGATCTCCCTGGGAGGGAAAAATAGAATAGATTTTATAAGTGTACTAAAACGAGGTAAAGGAGACAAAAATGAGAGGACAAGGTGGGAAGGGAGACGGGGATGGGATTGAGGGAAGGAATGAGGGAAGAGACAGCTAGAATTAAAGAGCATTAGGAGAGGCAGTATGGAACCATAATTCAATGGAAACTTCCTGTAATATACAAACGTGAGTCTAATGAAGTCTCCATATAATGAAGGAGAAAGAACCCCTACTGGCCTTCTCTTGTGACTAAACGAACTTCCAGAGCTAGTACTAAGTTTCATTCAATTGAGTTTTTGGCCAAAGGAGACCCATGAAAATCCTCAAACAACCCATGCTGTTCCCAAAACAATAGTTGCTCTCCACAAACTGACAACAAGGCCCTGTTGCTGAAGACAATACACACACAACTCATTGAACATGGAAAGGCTTAATTTTACTATATTTTATTTTGTTGTGTTTTGTTGTTATCTTTTAGGAGACTCTTCTAATGAGAGACAAAGGGGTAGTAGATCTGGATGAGAAAGGAGGTAGGGAGCAACTGGGAGGAGTAGACGGAGGGGTAACTTATTTAGGTTAAAAAAAGAAAATAATAAAAATAATAACGAATTGTGCCTGATCTGGGCTGAAAAGAATGAAGGTTCCTTGCAGCCTTCGCTTCTCTACAGTGTCCAGAAAGTCTTTGAAGGTGGTGATGGACGGTGAGATAAACCATGAGTCTCCTTGTATCAGGAATTAATGCAGCTGTTGTAGATTGAGAGTCATTAGAGCAGCTAATGTTGAAACATTCCTGCTCAATTACAGGTGAGAGTTTAGTTATTTTAAAGGAGGCAGGTCCAGTATTGTTTAAAAAAAAGGTTTCAAATCTTTTGGAGATAAAATAGGTGAATACATGAGGCAAGGCCATCAAGATTAGAGGCAATTTTTTGAGGAAGCACTAAATGAACCTCTCCCCAGTCCATTTTGAGGAGAGGTCCTGAGGATTAGGATTAGATAATGTGCTGCCTAGTTTTATATCAATTTGACACCTAGGGTCATCAGAGAGGGGGGAGCCTCAGTTGAGGAAATGTCTCCATAAGGTTGGGCTGCAAGCAAGCCCCTGGGGCATTTTCTTCATTAGTGATGTGAAAGAGCCAAGCCTGTTTTGGTTGGACAGCCCTAGACTGGTAGTCCTGGGTCCTCTAAGAAAGCAGGCTGAGCAAGCTGTGGGGAGTGCGCAAGCCAGTAAGCAGCACTCCCCTGTGGCCTCTGCATCAGCTCCTGCCTCCAGGTTCCTTCCCTGCTTGAGTTCCTGTCCTCACTGCTATTGATGATGGTTACATGCAACTGTGAGTGAAATAAACTCCTTCCTCTCCAAGCTGCTTTGGTTCATGGCGTTTCATCACAGCAATAGCAGGCCTAACTAAGGTCTAAATACGCTAGATCCCCAGTCTCTAGGGTGGGAGATGTGCATCCTTCAGAGCGAGAAGAGGGCAGGACTTTGCCACAATCCACGTGCTTCTCTGGTATTAGAAAGGTCATACAGCCCTTCCTTGTGTGCTCCTATGAATTCTGAACTAGTCCTGAAAGTCAAGACGTACATTTTGAGTCAGATCTGTAAGTCAGATTCAAAGTCCTCACTACCTTCTCAGCACACCACATATTGAGAGATGTTTGCTGATTAAGCTCATCAAAAGGAGGGCATCAGCTCTCCACGGGAGTGAGCAAGTGCAGACTCTCTGGATACGCTAATGATGTTGTGGCATTTGCTCTTAAGCAGCTCTTGCCTGGACTAGCCTTCAGACTAGCCTACTTTTCAGGGCTTACTGATGGATTCTACCCTCAATGTCAGAATCACGTAAGCGATTCCACTAGTGCCCAGATTTCAGAAGGGCCCCCCGCGGAAGGCAGCCAAAACATGGGTGCAGCCTCATGAGTTCATGTGCCTCTCACTTTCCGCTAACTTGAAAAGTTGAATATTGTCTGCTGACCTGTTTACTTATTTCTTGAGTGTCTCGAGGGTAGGAATCGGTCATTCCCTAGTCATACCCGAGTCCCAGTAAGCACATTAGACTCCGTGAATAGTTAATAAATGTGACTAGTTACTAGTTGTGAATGCGGTAGTGTTCACAGGGAACAATGTGCTCTAAGTGTATGAGCTTAGAGAGAGAATCTACAAACGTACGGTCCCAGCTTACATCCCACAGCCAGTAGAACTGTGGTGCTTGGTGTGAAGACAGGACTACACACACTGAGGTGCATTTTTACTTGTCCTCAAAAATCTACAAAGAAGTAGAAATGTCTGCCATTTTCAAGATTTTAAAATACAGTTTGAACAGTAGTTTCTTCCAGATATAACTCTTTAACAAAAGTTACATTAACTATGAACTCTAATTACTCTAACTTCTCAAACTGCTGAGATGTGGAAGAACAGTCTGACCCTCTGACACCAAGGGCAACTCCACAAAGAGAATCGAGAAATGACACAGTGAGAATAAAGCATCTTGCATGACCCAGTCACTATGCTCTTTCCTACAGCATATGAGACAAGACATCATGGCCCCTTTCTTTGTCTCAAGGGAAAGGCTGCCTCTTTTTCTTTCCCCCCCCCCCCCCCCGTCAAAACTGCTCCAAGCTGATCTGAAAACCACATGAAGGATTTCCAAGGAAACTGAAAACTAAGGTCTGGTAAAGTATAATATAGACTCAAAAATATAGACTCAAATTCTTGAGTGAAATTCTAGAAGAAGAGGAAGAAGAACATTCCTAGGAGTGGCCAGTAGTATAAAGGTGAGGGGGGAGGGCATAAAGGTGGGGAGGGGGAGGGGGAAGGGGAAGGGAATACACAAAAAACAAAACAGTAATTGCCCACTGAGAGGCCAGGACTCCAAACCACTGAGAAGGTAAGACAATACTTTAAAAACGTTTTTTAGTTTTTAACTCAATTTTATTTTTCTTAATGTGTATGTGGTATGGGTGTGTATGTGTGTTCACAAGTGTGAAGACCCAATGTTGACGTCAAATGACTTCCTCAGTCATTCTTCACTTTTATGTGCTGAACCCTCACTTTCCCAGCGATCACTCTCCATTTTCATTCCCTGAGGCAGGATCTCGTGATGAACTAGAGTAACCAACTCTGACTAACTGCCCAGCTTGACCTGGAGAATCCCTGCCTACTCAGCTTTCATGTAGATCTAGGGCTCCTAACACTGGTCTTGCACAGTGCTTTATCCACTGAGCCACCCCAGCCACTAACTGGAAGTGAGAGTTCTAGTCCAAAATGGTATACGCTATAATCAGAAGCAACAATTACGATGTGAGGGGAAACAGGACATATCTTTCACCTTTTTCGAAATCAATGGGCTGGCCCAGACTAGTCCCAACTGACTGGTCCAGTGGGAGATCATAGGAGATGCTCTTGGTACAAGTGACCTAAAAAGCTCCAAGACCAGGGTTCTCCTGTGGTTTATGTACAAGGAATAAAAGGAAGGCAGCAGACAAACACCTTCATTCCCGTCTTTAGCCAACTTGCCAGAAGGAGACACTAGCCAAGTCTGGGGTTGGCTGGGTTTACTCTGGCTGAGCTACCTGCTTCCTGAGTGACCTGCTGAAAGCTGGCCTGTCTGAAACTCTTTTTCCCTGCTTCTAAGACAGGCGGGCTAGGATCTGGCAGCAGGCCATTACCATAGTTAAGTGAATTAGTATGGCTAAGTGCAGGGCACAGGCGTGTACGGAATGTTAAGCATTCCCCTTCTTCCTGAGGTAGGGTGCATAAGCATTCCCAGCTGGTCTCACACATTTTACAGCTTCCTGGGCGCCTCATGATGAGCCTTAAACCCCAGTCAAGCCTACGGCTCATGAGGGACCTGAGCAAGCTTGGGTACAGACTCCGTGCTCAGGGACTCCAGAGGCCGTTTGCTGATTCCCTTTGCAGTCACACAGACACTGCTCCAGGCACAACCCTCCGGATGTGAGTGTATGACTTCCTGATGGTGACACTGCCGTGGTGAGAAACCCCTCGTGGCAGGACACATTCCTCTGTTAGCTTCTTAGCCTCAGGGTCCCAGCAGAGCACAGTGGCAATGACCTCATTCTTCTCGTCCCTCCCGCCGGTGATGTACAGCCTGTTGTTGCAGGGAGCAATGCCACAGCTGGCTCGCTCGTGACTGAGCTGTGTCACCAGACACCAGCTGTCCTCCAGGGGACTATAGGCGTAGAGCGCTCTCATGGCACCGCCTGCAGAGAAAGAACATGAATGATGGGCATGTTTCTGGGTCTTTTTTCATTAATCCCAAGAATTCTGCTCTGATTAGGCCCAATCTACCATCTTACCAGACAAACAGTAGACTGGTTGCTTTCTTCCCAGAAAGCCAGAACGAATCCCCAGGCTACCAGCATGGAGAAACTTCATCTCCTTTAAATTCTGACCAGGAAGGAATCTGGTTCTAAAAGACACCTGACTTAGCACAGTTGCATAAACACAGCCTAAGACTGGCTTCCTGGGAGAACCCCAGCTGAGGCTGCAGGTACCTCAGCGTGGCTACTTTTAGTCTCTGACCCCAAGCACTAAAATCACGGTGGTCGTAACATCACAAAAGGACCATGCACGGAGGTGCTTCCTAAAAGCCATCAACATAGCATTAGCCAGGAATGGCACCTCTTTTCAGATGGGCTGTCCATCTTGAAACGGGACCTTTGAAATCTCCGGGAGCCTGATCCCAAACAAAACCGCAAGAGACCCGAAGCAAGGGAGAGCTAGCTGTGTTTTCCTTATTATACTCCACTCAGTCTTTTACCTCCCAATGCCTCCTCTGATTAGCCCTGGTAAACGGCTGAAGCTATTTGTATTCTGGCACCGCTTCCATCAGCAGTACTCTGTTGTAGCGCCACATTAAAATCAGCTGGAATTTTTAAAAAAATACAGTTGTAATATTCCCAGACACCCTTCTTCCTCCATCTAAAAAGTCTCCCTGGTAATCCTAAAAAATGCTGAGGACTAAGTGTTGGCCATCAGGCACCTCTGCGGCCAGCTCCAAAGACTGGGTGACAATAGGACATGTCATTGCCAGCCTCTGAGATTCAACATATTTCCACTGTCAGTCTGAGCCCCATGCCCCTTTCCTGTGCATGCCTTGCATCACCTTATTAAAAAAAGGACTTGTTCCCTTCCCCCAACTTTCTTTCCTGACACCATTACCCATAAATCATTTGTGTCCCCCTTCCCAGATAACCTCCCACGTGAGACCTGTCACATGGTGCGACTTTATGGATTATGCCACATATCCCAACACTAAAAATCTCCACTGTCAGCATATAGTCAACCTGCTTCTGGGTTGCCTGGTTACCTATGATGTCATCATGTGTCCCTCCCACCAGGTGTGTGGCAGATGTACCCGGCAGATGTAGTTCAGCTGCACTCGAGATATAAAAGGACCGATACCCCCACCTTGTCTCCCTCTCTCCTGCTCTCTCCTCCTTTCTCTGTTGGGATGCCCCCTTACCCCATTTCTGTCCCTCTGCCTCTCTCTGTCTCTACCCTCATGGCTCACTCAGGCCCTAACTCTTCTGCTTCCCTTCCCCCAAATAAACTCCTTCATATAATATCTGGTGTGTGCATAATTTTTAAAATAATAGCAACCATCTTTAACAATTACATGCCAAGTGTAGTCTAGCTGGCCAGACTTCCTCTCAACTAAGTACATTTTTTTTCAGGTCCCTAAAACCAAGTGGGAGAGGGCATTCCCATGATCAGAAACTAAAACATACAAATGTTTCCCATTTGTTTCAATTTCTGTATATTAGCTATGTTCGCAATACAACTTTACTCCTCCAGCGACTTCTGGCTTCCTCTGCCGGACTACAGCATCTATTCTTTGTGTGGTGGTTTCCACCTCCAGGACTTTAACAGAAATGCCACCAATACCTGGACCAAAACCACCTTCTCTTCCTTTCAGCCCCATCTACATCACCCAGGTGTTCTCAGAAGGGTAATATCTGGTGGCTACATGGGTGAGAAGCTACAGATAAGTGAGGAGTCATCACTGACTCACCAACAACATAGATGTGATCCTGGAAACTCACTGCATTGATGCATTTAGCCTCTACTGGCATGGGAGACTTCAAGACCCATTTATTGGTGGAAGGATCATAACACTGAGTCTTGTCTGTGGCCAGCTTCCCATTGGGTCCTCCTCCAATGACATACAGCTTCTTCTTATGGCTAGTGGCTGCAAAGGAACTGACATGGACAAGGAGGGGTGCAGCCTGCAGAGACAGAGGGCACAAAAGTCAGTGTGCTGCTCAGACTTCTGGAGAAGCTCACAGAACACATACTTGGGCATGCTTTGGCCTGGCTCCCAACCAAATGTAGAGAGAAAGCCCACCATCAAGACTCTCAGCAGCCTAGAGTAAGCTGTGTGTTGGCTGTTCCTGCCTGTTTATCCCAGAGTCCAGCTCTTAGGGAAGGACAGACACAGGCAAGACTAAATGTTTATATACAAGACACCAGCATGTTCATGCTCATTCAACGGTCAATTACTAGGTGCCAATGTCAACTTAAGTTTATGCACTTATGCACACGCTCCCACTCTGGGGAAACACTGCAGATTTGGGGATTAAGCCAGATTAGTGTTTGTGAAGCTTCTGAGCCCCAGAATACTAAAAGAGACTTCCAAGAGCCTCTTGTCAATTTACATGACCCTTTAGTTTTAGAGGCTAAGTGATAGGACTTGATGAGTAGAGATCTTGGGCCCATCCCCAACAGTTCATCACTCTTAGCTGGATGTCATGGAAACATGATGATAACCTTTCCTTGTGCCTATAGTGACCATGTTTTAGACATTCTGAATTTGAGAATAATCTGGAAACGCTGGAAGTTAAGGTTATTTTTCTTGTCCTGTGGCAGTTTTTACCCAGAGGTGGCTTTGCTGACATTTGCACAAAGGCCTATGAATGGCTCCTCATTAATAAGAAAATAAATATGGCTGAGTTCTAGCTGTAACCAAATGACTTTGGGCATACAAATGGTGTAAGAAACAGTATGAAAAGGAACAGGGCAGAAGACATTTAAGGAGATAGACTCTGGGCCAGGATGTGCCACCAACAGAGCTAACCATCTTCAGGATAGGCCCAGCTTTTCCTCTATAGCTGGGGCTTTGGCTATCACAGGATAATGCCCATACAGAGCCCTGACATTTGGAAGGATGTTATTCCTGAAACTGGATCAGCAATGTTGATGGCATGACTCCTAGGAAGAGAGAGGTTCAGAGCCAAGATGTTGTCTGTGGGAGCAAAGTGGCCAAATAGCCAGCCACCACCACAAGCAGTATTTTTGTTGCTGTTGCTTAAGCTTTGAAATTATTCACAGATATAATCTCCATACCTCTGACCAACAGTTGTGGAAGGGGTCATAAGTCTCCACATTGTTGATTCTTTGTAAGCCATCAAAACCCCCAATTACATAGACTTTGCCACCCAATACAACCATCTTATGCCTCCAGCGGCCTATGTTCAAATATTCAATCTGAATCCATTTGTTGATTGAAGAATTATATTTCCAGACATCATGCTGTGTTTCTTTGCCACCTACAAGAGACACAAAGTATTTAAAAACACCAACTACATGTCTCAAAATACAGTTTTCCCAGCATTCCTCAAACTCTAAAAGTACTGAGTCTTCCGCTGAGTCCCAGCTAGGGGAGATTAAGGAGATATTGACGGTGTAATTAGGAGGGATGAAACAAACTCAAAAGAATAAGAAGCCACAAAAGGTGGAGGTGGTGATTTGTGCCACAAAGACTAGAATGGTGGTCAGTACGCCCACAGCTCAGGATGGGGAGCTAAGTGAGAGAATCCAGGGAAGGATTCGGTGACATCAGTCTTTTGGTGGGGGAGCCCACTAATACTGTGTTTGTGCCACGAAGAAGCAGGGAGCAAGGTTGGACAGGAATGGTAGACTCTTGACATCCAGGAAGTTAGAAGGTAGCTCATGTTCTAATTGTATTTATTTATTTATACAAAGAGAAAATGGAAGAAATTGTCACGAGATCTTACAAAATTATCTGAGCTTATGTCTTCCATGTGTATAAAAGAGTAAGCCGTATAAAGGGTGGAATCTGCCTCTAGGAGGACAAACAAACTTCTGCCTCCTCTCAAGGGTTAATCCAGTGGGGCTGGTCAGCTGGTCGGGAATCTGGCCAGGAGACACTCCCAGGAAGGCAGGTCCACCTTAAAACAATGTTCTTTTTCCTTTCCAGAATTTCCCCCCTAGTGCCCTCCCTGAGTCAGGCAGCCCCATAAGCAGAGGCCACCATTAGGTGGGGCTGCATCTGGCCTCCTTTCTGAGGCCAGACTAGGTCTAGTTTTTCTCTTCTGTCCTTTTCTTTCAGATGCTGGCCATTGCCTGAAAGTCTTCTAAACTCCCTAACCAAGGCTTTAGGACTCTGTATTCCCTAGCTGCCTGTGCGCTAATCTCCAGATTGCCTTATCTAAAGCAGCATGGTTTCCGTTTTCTCTCCTCTGTTCTCTTTTTCCCTTCCAGGAAGCTATGAGAATTATAGTTTCCCTCTTCTGAGGTTTTTCTTTTAAACTCTAATAAATTATTCCTTTTTTTGTTTTGTTGTTGTTGTTTCTAGACAGGGTTTCTCTGTGAAGCAGTAGCTGTCCTGGACTCACTTTGTAGACCAGACTGGCCTCAAACTCACAGAGATCTGCCTGCCTCTGACACTGCCTCCCAAATGCTGAGATCAAAGTCATGCAATACCACCACACAGCCTTCAGTATATATTTAAAATTGTTTATTAATAAGACCAAGAACCCCAAAACACAAGAACACTGACTTCCTGAATGCTATCTGGTGGCTCTTCTGGACCTCCCTACAATTTCTAGCAGCACCCTTTTCCTGTCTTCTACTTCTTTAGCTGGCAGAGCAAAGGAACCCATTCCTGCACTGCTAGACAGCAGTGGGACTTGTCTTATTTTAAAATTATTTTATCATAAAAATATTAAATGCTTATAATTGATCATTTGAGAGTGAAATGGTCAATATTTTCTCTCTGATTGTTGGAATACAAATTTATGATATCTAGGTCAAAGGCACATGCTTTATAAGTACTTCCAACAGTCCTCCAAGACTGCACCAACAAACTCTGCCCCCCTCCTCCACCCTCCCCCACCCACCTCCACCCTCCATTATAATGATGTAACCAGGGTGTGAGGAATGAAGACAGTCTGAAGAAATGCTTGTGCCCCTCGATTTATCTTACTACTAAAATGAAATCATGGACCCTAAGAAATGAGAATTTCTCCAAGAATCTCATGTTGTGAAAAGAATAAGGCTTGAGGGCCTAACCGCAGCCATGGGGGAACTTGTCTGCCAGAAAGAGATTTCACAGAATTCTAACAACTTGTCAGGTAAGACCAAAGCCCAAACAAGAATAGGTTAGTGCTGCCAGCACCACACCTTGACCAGGCCTGCTTGGCAGTGCTTATCCTTGACCCTCTCCTCACACATTAATCTCACCAGGTACAGGGGTGCTGTGTCTTTAATCCCACCACTCTGGAGGCAGAGGTGTGAAATATCAATGAACTTGAGGCCAACCTAGTCTACATAAAGAGTTCTAAGGCAGCCAGGGTTGCATAGTAAGACCCTGTCTCAGCAAAACAAAACAAAAACCTGTAATTTCATTTTGAGGCACCAGAGATGAATTTGAGCAGGTCACAGGATCATGTCCTTTGTTTGTCTTTCCAATAGGGCCATGTTGAATAAATCTCCTCTCTCTGCTTTTTGCTATTAATTTGGCTATTTTAATTGGCTTCTTGAGTATAGTGCAGTCAAGCCTGGCTCTCTGGTGTACAGACTGTGACCCTGAGTTTGGTCCCAAGACTGTAAAGGACTAAGCTTCCTTTCATACTGTGTTCATGTATGTACCCTGAGCATTTGTCTTTGTTTTGTACCTTTTAGAGGTTTCTATTCAAGACACTGAGATATTGATCCTATTTTGGGTAGTCCTAAAGATTACAAAACACCATGAAAACTTTCAATGAGATCTTTATTAACAGAAAACAAATGTTATGTTTTATTTAGGGACTTAAATAACATAAAATGTTTTTATTAGAGACTTAAATATTGCATATACAGGTGAGAAGAGCTGCTCTTACAGATGTCCAATTTCCCTGGGATGTCTGTTCTTTTAAGAGTGCTTAGGGAACCTACAAGATAATTTTAACATTCACTGCAAAAAGCATACAGCGGGCAAGCATTCTGTGCCAGAAGCACTTTCAGAAAAAGAAGAATAAAGAAATGCTATCTTTACCAAATATGAAGATATACTGACAGTATAATAAAATGAAAATAGTGTAGGTATAATTAGATATTGATTTAAAATACAGGAACAAACTCATATATGTAAAAATTATCAAATAAATGTTATTTGGTGGCACGTTAGCTATTTTACCTTACATGTAAAACAACTACCAAACTAGAGAATTAGGAGACTAACCCAGTGACTTGAAGAACATGACACAATATCCAAAATCACATAAGGAAAAAATGGTTGTGTAATCATAAATCAAAATTAAGAGATAAACACAATCTAGAGGAAAAGGATTTATACCACAAAGCAAAAGATATTTAAAAGGGAGGCCAAAAAAATTAGTAAGAAAAAGAAAAACACAAACCATCATAAAAAAACAACCAAAGCATATGAGCATACATATTTTAAAATAAATACTATTAGCCAATAATTATATGAAAATATACTCAACATCACAAAAAATGGAAATATTCTAGGCTATTAGTCAGAAATAATTAATAGCAATTGTTAGCAAGGATGTAGAAAGTGGACACTGTTTAAGCTACAAAGTGTGTAATCTTTGTGGAGGACAGTTTAGCAGTTGACAAATTTTCAATTCATTTATTTTAAGATCACTTCTAGGAGCCTTTCCACAAACTCATAAACTATTGTGTATGCAAATGTCTGTATTTTTTTAAGTCTGTATATTTTACAAACAGCAAATACATGTGGCAAAGATCAACTCTGACTACCAAACTTGTTCTTCTTTCCTGGACGCATAACTAAACTACATCGCCAACCCCACTTCTATTCTGAAAAAGAAGGGCTCACTGCTGGTTCTTACCAATAGACTATTTGTGGCCTTTCTAAGCTAAGGCTTTATAGGATAGATGCATCTTCTCATTCAGGCCACATGTGGGAGATGGCAGAATCACAAGACAGAAGGAGCCCGAGTCCCTGAATGCTTAAGTTGAATGATGGACTCCTGATTCCACTACTCCCACGCGCTCTTGTGTTCATTCGTTAAGTGGGACTGGAGGACTTGTTAGAGCAGTTAACATTACTTATCCTAGCAGAATTATTTTATAAAAAAATTAAACAAGGGGAATTATCACGGAACAGAAAACTGCCACATTTTAATTTTTATTTTCTGTATTGTTCAAATCCTATAATACTTATATGATAAAAAGAAACTTACACCGTAATCAGTATTATGAACAGACCTGAAGAGTTGCTGATGTTAACCTCTGGAGGGCACTAAATACATAGGAGCCAGAGGGCGGTATTCGCACGCTCCTTTTGATATGAATAAGAAGGACCTGGGCTTAGCTCCTGGATGTGGTCCTGCCCAATGCCAGGGTGTAAACTTCATTACATTCTAGAACGTCTCTGGGCCCTGTTTTCTCCCACTTACGAATTTATCCTTCCTTGCTGTGATTGGTAGTTGTGTGTTGCTAAAGTGCAGATTTCCCTACTATGCAGTAAAGATGGGGGAGCATGTGTCATTCAAAACTATTTATTATTGAGTGTTTGCATTGCTAGGTGCTAGAGAGAGATAGTGTTAATTCTCATAGGACTTCAGGTCTAAGGAGAAGGCAAGCAAAAATAATCGTTAATGATTGAACAACAACTTCTTAGTGAAAAAGTATAGTATTCATCAGTACTTCAGGAGAAGTGTATCATAGACTGTCTAAGAAATCTGGGAAGGTCAGGTTTATGGAAGGATAGTTCACTACTCTAGTCCTAAACCCAGATCAGTGTCCTGTGGCAGACTGACCAAGCCCAAACATGACTTTCAGTTTTTGCTCCTGTGAGGGCTGGAGCTGTCTGTCTGTCCTCATATATCTTAGTACAGTGCTGCTCACATTTCCGTATTTATTAAGTGATAATGTTTTTTGTTTTTTGTTTTTTTTTTTCCAGGATAAGACTACCTGAGCTCCTGGTTCCATATCCTGACCTAGCCAGAGCTAGACCAATGTGAACTCACAGAAATTCTTACAGGGTGCTTAGTTGCTGTTGGGGAACTGCGTTAGTACCAGTCTCTGGCTTACCTGAGATGTAGACCTCATTTTTTAATGTCACGCATGCGAACTCCACCCACTTCTTATTCTCACTCTCCAGCTCATGCTCCGTCAGTGGGAGCTTGGCCACCTCCAGGCGGCTGCGCCTCAGGGGGTCAAGGCAGGTTACCTCTGCCACAAATCGTTCGTCCTTTGTACACCCGCCAATGATCATGAATACCTCAGACTGGAACTCATGCATCCTGGGCTTGGTGCGCTCTGAAATAATCTAGAAATCAACGAGACGATGTGTAGACAGAGTGAGCACAACAGGACAGTGCAGAGCTCAGGCTGTGGAACCACAAAAATCATGTCCCAATTTCCACCTCCGCCATCGTTAGCCATGTGGCTTCACCTTCTTGACTGTAATTTCATCATCTGTATAATGGCTATTTGATCTTAACTAATCAGTAGGTTTGTTGTATTAAATGGCACAATATATGGAGTGTGTTGACCCAGGGCCTGTTGTCTAATGTTACTTAATCATTTTTGTTGCTATTTTATGACAACAAGAGTCTGTTTGCCATCAAATGGACTTCCTGCCTCTTCTCTCCTGCTTGGTCTGAAACCTGGACTCCTGGAATGAAAGTCAAAGTTAACATTTATTAAATATAAATACCTATCATCATAATGTAAAAAAGAAAGAACAGGGTGGCAGGTCCATGGGAAGGAGTTAACACACATCACCCTTCAGAAAAGCTTTATTAGGAGAGGGTCCCTATAGGGAAGGCAGGACTTCAGGTCCAAAGAGGAGCTTCCTTAAAAGAAATAAGGCACTGTGACCATAAACAGCCATAATGCCATAATGTGGCCTTGAAGTTGTGTGTGTGTGTATACACATGTACATTTGCATGTGTCTGTATGTCTACACTTGAGAGAGAGAGAGAGAGACAGAGAGAGAGCCTTTGTTCACACATGCATGTGCATTTGCATGTGTTCATTTGTGTATATGTGTACACATGAGAGAAAGACAGAGACACAGACACACAGGGAGAGGATTGTTTCTAATCGTGAGAGGAAAGGGTGTTTCTGACTCATGGGTTTTCGGGATAGAGGTACTTTAGTCTGTCCTATCCGACCTGCCAAGAGTCACAGAGCAGGCAGCAAGAAGGACTAGAAGCTTGTTACAAGAGGGAGGGCTGCAAGGCTGCAGCACAGCATGCTTTCTTTTCTTATAAACTCTTTCTCCCAGAAAGAGGGCTGGGAGTGGGGTCTCATTTTGGATGAAAGAAACAGTAAGGGGGTCTGTGTTCTAACACTTATTATATACCCAGCCCTGGGTCAAGCGTACTATGTGATATTACAGTGATGGGACTATGGCAATGGCCACTGACACTGTTGACATTCCCTAGCAGAAGGAAAAGAAATCTTTATTTGGGAGTCCAGCCATCATTTGTCTCCTGCTCTCCTCCAGCTGCACATGATCTTGGGAAATGCTACAGTAAACGGAAAGTCAACGGTTCAATGAAAATAGGACTCCACAGTGCAGGATGCAGAACGTCATCATCCATAATGAGGTGAGACTCTCAGTGATGCAACTGATTGGGGTCACCTCTGCTACCCCATGTAACATCTCACCCATGTTTTATAAGTAACTCCAATAAACTCTTTGGCTCATCCAGTTGAACTTTAGTGGGATCATCATTTTGGTCTGTCATTAGTGCCCTGTCTAGAGTCAACCTACCCCCAAAAAGTTAACAAAACATCAGTCAACACCCCACTTTTGATTTTCCATTAATTTTGCTTGTTATTTGTTTTTTCTGGGTCAATGAGCCAGATCCAGTAAATTTTGCATCTCTAGTTTTTTTAGTTGTGGCTACATTTGTGTCAGGTCTCTTAGTTGTGAGTTCAAAAAAGAATGGGGAGATATATAACAGAGCAAATCCTCATTAATGTACTGAGCCTGAAATCTTAAACTGCAGAAAGTCCGTAGCGTAAGTTTAGGAGCATCAGGACAAAGAACTTGAAGGTATTAAGCAATGAGTTGGCACCAAAATAATGCTTGCTTCTCTGCACCTTTCTTCCCAACATCAGCCTGGTTTCTATCCCCAGACCACTTAATCATAAACAATGACCATTCATAACCAGGAATTTCGACTAAGATCTAGAGACGAAAAGTCCAGCAGAACCCAGTTCTTACTGTAATAAGTTACAAGCTTAGAATATTTACAAGATGATAAATCCAGTGCTTACCATGTGGCATTTGGTGTCATGACTAAGGATTGAAGCAATGGCCATAAGGATTCTTTAGAGAAGGATTGAATTTTGGAGTAGGAGCAGAAGTTAGGTAGAGGAAGAAAAAGAAGACAGCATTTAGATAGCATCTGCCTTATCCTGAAGGCTGAAAAAAACATTTCCCTAAGGGAAACTGGATGCATTATATCAAAACCACAGATGAATGTATACATCAACAATTAAAGAAACAGAGGCCATGAATTGATTGTAAGAGGGATATAGAAGAAGAGTTGGAGGTAAGGGAAGAGAGGAATGATATAATTATATTTTAATTCAAAAATACATGTTATTTAAATTTGTTTTTAATTTTAAAAAATATAAACACACGCCTTAGTAGTGGGTAGTAAATGATGCCAGAGACCTGGGCAGGAGTATTTCAGTGAAGCACAGCTCAGGGAACTCTAGCAGAAAGAGTGGGTGTCTTCCTGAAAGCAATGAAGAGACAGTGAAAAGGTCAGGCCAGGAGCATCTTCCATCATTCCAGGGGTGGGAATGACTTGGAAGGAAGCCACACTGGGATGAGGTTTAAGGAATTTTCAGAAATGGAAATTCAGGAGAGAAATGATAAGACTCTTAATCTAGGCAATGTCAGAACAGAACAACACAAAATCTCATAAGAGCGGGAAATTGTGAGAAAGTAGGACCCTTCAAGAATGGTGATTTGATGGGACCACACACAACTGGGCTGGGGAGGATGTGACAGGCACAGTACCAAAAGGTTTAAGGTTTCACTTAATCCTCCCAACAGCTGTGTGAAAATGTGGGAAATGCGATATAATCTCTGTTGTACAGATCAGGGATCCCCAGATTTGGGAATGATGAATTTGTGAACAAGGGTCACTTGCATGTCTGAGAGCCTCTGGATTCCATTCCTGATGAAACATGGCCTCTCTCATGTCCAACTCACCTCATTGCCAGAAAGGTGGTACATCCTGGCTTCCTGAAGCAGCGGAAAGACTTCAGGGCATTGTCTAATGAGAGGATCTGCTTCGACCGTATCCACAAAGTACCATGGATCCAGAAGTGGTAAGCGCACGTTCTCGAGGACACAGGGGAGCAGGCAGAGTCGTTCTGATTGTTTGTGCCGGACCCAGCTCATCACAGTCTCAAACACTTGCGCCTCCTCGGTCACACAAAGGTCGTCACTCTTCAAGATATGGTACAAGGTGTCCACAGGAAGTTCAAGGAACTCCTCGGAGTTCAGTATCTGAACAAAATTTTGGATGATGTAACTTTGAACTTGCACCTTTAAACTGTCCAAGGAGTGAGTGTCGGCCAGCCTTAGTATTCCAATACAATTTTCTGGGTTCAAGGCTTCTGTGAGAAAACTGGCACAAGCATCCACCAGCTGCAGAAACTAACAGAACGGTGGAGAGTCAGGCAAGAACGTGATTAGTCCTTCAAGAACATTTATCAGCGAGTTATGTGCACCAGCAAAACTTAGAAACACCCCCAAATGTTCAACAATAAGGGAAGAGGCTAAAAATAACACATTCACACAGCCAACAATTCTATGAACAATTTTAAAACATTATAAGATTGCATTAAGTCACATGGAAAATGTCCTGGGTTTTTTATTCTATTCATTAAATATAACCAAACGTCTAGATTTGGTTTTGTTTATTTTGTAGTGCTTGGGGTGGACACACAGAATCACATATGTGCAAAGTGCTCTGCCATCAAGCTATATTTTCTAAATTTAAGCCTCCAGATTTAATCATCAGTTTACAGAAAAGATATAGAAGTAAATACATGTAAAATGATACCATAAATACCCATTTAGCCACGTCTAGATGATGGGAAACTCCATGGAACAACTGATTTCATTTATTCTGTGAATACGCCAGAAAGGGAGAGGAGGAAAAGAATGTAGAAACACAAGATCTGCCTGCATCCGTGAGTATATAAACAGGATTTAGGGAGTTATTTTAAGGGGGGGATCATGAAGTTTGGAGAAGGGATGAAGGGTCAGTGTAGGTCTTGGAGGAGTTAGAGGAGGAGCGCTGTGTAAACAAGATCAAGAGAGTGCATTCATGTATAAATTATCAAAGAATAAAATTATTATATTAAAGATGAAAGAGTAAAGTGTATCAACTTACTACAAATATGTACCACATTTGGATCACTGATTCAAGCAACAAATGAAATCAGGGAAATGTTTACAAACATTAGTATTTGGTGACATAAAAAGTTATAATTAATTTTAGGGGTAATAATGGTCTTATGGTTATTATGAATAAGGATCTTTATCTTATGAGCTGGGAAAATGTCTACCAGATAAAAGTGCTTGTTAATCAAGGCTGATGACCCAAGTTCTGATCCTCAGCAACTACACAAAAAGCCAGGCTCAGTGGTAAGTATCTGCTATCCCAGATACTTACGGGAGACTGAGACAGGAGGATACATTACAGCACATGGGCCAGCCAGCCTGGCTTATGTATCAGTGAATACAGCTTGTCTCAATCAAGGTGGAAGGGGAGGACCAAAACTCAAAGGCTGTCCTCTGACTCCACACTCAAATTATGGCATGCATGCACCTGCAGCCCTACACAAGGACATGCATGCATCCGGCACCTATCCTTTCCTTCTTACCTCCTTCCCTGCCTTCCTCCTTCTCTCCCTACCCCTTACTTTCTCTCTCACACATACAGTTTAAAAAAAGAAACCTTTGCCTTTTAAAGATACACCTAAATATTTGTAAAATGAAATTAGAAAAGTAGCTTATTGTGAGAAAAAAGATTATATAGTTTCATACGCATAGAAAAGAGCTAAAAAGTTATGAATTAAAATATTGTTCAAATCTCTGTCTATCACAGGGCTCTTCATTCCAGGACTCAGGGCAGTGAAAAAGCCCTGACTGAGATCTACTGACCCAAAATGGAATCTGAAACAAGCATGGCAGAGCTACACAAAGCCTCTGAGAGCTTCAGAGGTAGCCCGTGCAGTTGCTGTTTGTACTTAGCTGGCCAGAATAAGTCACGATGCGAACTCTGTCACCAAATGATAATAAATCGCCACAAACTGATCTCGAAAGGGAATATAGTTTAAGGCACCACACTCACTAATAAAGCTACAGGAGGTTCTTTATGTTTGTTAATGTCTATGTTTTATTTACTCTTCCCCCAGTAAGTTACTATCACTTTTGTAACTGAAAAACATAGTTTGTAAAAAGCATTGATCAGCTTTCATATCCTACTTTAAAAGAATATGTGCTTAATGTCTGGACAGCATTGTACAAATTACAAGGCACTGTCATGATCATTATGACAAATGCTCACACGAAACATCTCATGTGCATTGTCAGCTCACGCTTGTCCTCTAGAGCTTTACTCTGAACAAGTCCAATCTCCTTGACCTCTCCTTGTCCACTGGGCTTCACAAGACCACACTGTCAATGTGCTTGAGCTGATCATTTAAGTGGAAGGAAAAAGGAGACTACAGGGAAGGACTGGGAGAGAAAGCCTATCCGAAGGCAGGTACGGATAGATATGGAGACAGTCCTGACAAGGGGAGTACGGTATGCAAAGGACAGGTTCTAGTGACTATGTAAGGGGAGAGGCCGACTGGGGAGAAAAGGAGAAGGTGGTCTTAGGGTTGGTTTTGAACTGGTAGACTGAGTTGGGTAGAGTTTAATCTTTACACCAGAGTACTCTGAGGCACACATCCCCCACTTTCAGGGTCTTTGCAATCACAAAACAGGATTTTTCCCTATCAGACCATATCTCCCAACTGATTATATAGAAAATGTGTCTTTGAGAGCCAAGATGAAGTTGGAGAATGATAGGGTTGGTGTTGCCTCCTTCTGCCCAGCTCAGCTCCCTGCTTGAGGAACTGTGAAAATGGCTGAGCTGAGAATCCTAAACCAAGCTGATACATATCCTCCTGCCTCAGCCTTCCAAAGGCTGGGATGACAGGCTTGTGCCACGCTGCCCAGCTCTGCAAAACTCGAAGAGCTACTTACTGGCAATATAATGAAGTGCCCACTTCATTGTGGGCACTTCAGTTCCGGGTAAATAACTGTGTATAAAGAAAAAGAGGAATAGGGAAGGTAGAGACATCCCACCTCTCCGTGGAGCTCCTTCTAAAAATCTAAAAAGCCCTTCCTCCGGGATGGCTTCTCTATGTGGAACCCTTCTCATCCCTCCTCAGCCCCGCTGCAGGTGGCGCCCGTGACTGCTCTGCTCTGTGCTCTGCCCAGCCAAGTCTGGCAACTCAAAGGTTCTAGGTCATAATTTTGTTTTTGTTTCCAGCAGTCTGTATTACAAAATCTTTACAACAGAAATGTAGGAGATGACAGACAGAGGGAAAATATCTATTAGGCATCTGGAATGCACTAAGACCTGTGCTTTTTCATCTGTCATTCATTGCACGTAGCAAACTATTTTTTAACAAATCTGTTGTATTTAGCAAGAAGAAAATATTCAGATAACATTTATATAGAGGAAGAAATAGAGAATTCAAAGCAAAAGGCATCAGCCTAAGTCGCTTAGCAGGTGGAAAGACAATCCATAACATCCTTGCTTGCAAATTACAGCTGCCAACTACAGCTGCCAGCTTGCGCTGTTGAGCTAATAAAAAGCCAGAAGCATCTTATAAGACCTTAAGACCACAAGAGAAGGTGGGTTTCTCTGACTGCCTACATTCTCCCAAAATAGACATCAACAAATATTTCTGAATGATCCAACCAGCAGCTTGGAATTTGCTGGCATGCATGGCAGTCATGAGACCAAGAAATTGTTTTTTATACATTTTCTTTTGGATAAATGAACAGCATACTGTTCCATGAACTTGGGTTTTAGAACAAAGAGATGACAAATAGAGATAACAAATAATGGCAACAGGTAGGGTAGCCAGTTTCCTGTTTAGGGGGTAAGTCAATAAAAGTTTACAGTAAGCACCCAACTTTGACAGGAACTCCTGAAATAGCGCCAAAGAGACATGGCCACACAGGAACTCCTAAAATACCATCAAAGTGACACAGCCACGTTCTCAAAGAAGTATCTGCTTTAAAGAGGCTATTTGTAGCTCTTCTTTTGAAGAGTACCTACTCAGATTCTTTGCTCATTTTAAAAACTTTTCAGCGTGTGTGTGTGTGTGTGTGTGTGTGTGTGTGTGTGTTGCTTCATTTACATAGTAACAATGTCAAACATCAAATGTCAGTATGGCTGCTCTCACAATAACCTATGCAGAGAGTAATACATAGTTTATAACAGGCATGCTGGTGTCAGAGATGATGAACTATTGAACTATTTTCTGAACACTCAACTTTATCACACCTAAGTCTCATGTGAACATTGCAAATACTTCAACTAAGAGCTGATGAAAAAAATAAACCAAGCAAAGAAATAACACCAGATACATACAGCTCAATGAGATAGCATATGGAAAGCCAAGATAACATAACTGCTCCACAGATTATAAATTCCACAGTAAGGACATCTAGTGAGAGTGAGTTAAATAAAATCCCAGACCGAGAACTCAAATGAATGATTATAAGTATGTTCAAAGAAGAAAAGAAGCACCTGGATTTGACTACAAACAGCTGAATAAAATGATGCAAGTTATGAAAGAAGGATTTAACAAAGAAAGAAATAATGAAGAAACATGAATCTGAATTGCTGGAAATGAAAAACATAGACAGATAAAACACTCTTTGGAAGTCACATCAATAGAATGGATCTACAGAGGCTAGAATTCGCTTGAAGATAAAGGGAAGAAGAACAATCAAGCAGGGGCAGAATTAAATAATGAAGTACCAGTGGGATACAGGTGATACTCTAGAAAGATAACTCTATGGCTAATAGGCACAGGAAAACATAGTTCTGAAAACATAAAATACAGTTTTAAAAGAATTGCAGAAGTACAGGCATGGGGTACCCCCGCCCTTCAGAGTTCTAACTCAGTTAGGTACCACAGGTCTACAAACCAGCATAAGCCATTGCTATTTCCCTTAGCTGCCTGCCATAACTATATGGTAAGACCATAATGCTAAAGACACCATATACTTTGGTTGTGGGATATAGAAAAATCAACTACAGACTGGGGAGATGTTAGGCAGGCTGCTGGGGTAGAAAAGACATCAACGATCTTTACCTAGTACTTGATGCTCCATGTTGCAACACCAACTTACCAGACAAGATATGCTTACTGCTACCTAAAGGAATGAATTTTATGATAAAGGCCCTTTCTGGGTGGACTTTGGGCCTGTTCCACAGGAGGGAATTCATACCTGGATCAAAACCCCATAGTTCAGGAAGTTATAAGTTGAACCCGCTATTTCTATTTATTTAAATGTTAATGATGTCTAATTCCCTTCTAAATAGTTATTCTTATACCCATAGACCTGGACACCTCGCAACCTTGGCCAGAGAGCTTTTTTTTTTTTTTTTTTTTTGTAGTAGACATTAGTCAATGAAGAGATGCAGAGATGCATACCTGGAAAGAGTGCTGAGAATGAATGACGGGGTGCTCAGCCCTAAATGGGACATCTATGCTAATCACTCCAGGACCAAGGCTCAGGGAACACGAAGAAGAGGCAGAAAGAATGTGGGAGTTGAAGAATGGGGAGGAATACCATAAAATACCATCTTCTGGACATAATATGGCAGCAGCACTTAAAATTCCTAGCAATAGTGATTACCTGAACAAGACCTACACAAGATCAAGCCAAGCATAGTTATGGCATAGATAGGGTGAAGAACCTCCTCTTGTCATATTACAATTAAAACACTAAATGTACAGAACAAAGAAAATATATAGGAAGTGACAAGAGAGAAACAAAAAGTCACATACAAAGGCAATTCCACCAACTCCACAGATTTTTTCAAATGAAAATTTAAAAACTAGAAGGACCTGGAAAAATATATTTCAAGCTCTTACATACAAATGTCAATTCAGAATATTTACCCAGCAAAGCTATCTACCATAGTTGGATAAAAAAATAAAAAATTTCCCATGATAAAAATAAGCTAAAAGAATCTATGTTCATTAAGCTAGTTCTAAGAAATTTCCTGAAGAAATCCTTCAAACTGAAGAGAAAAACAAACCTAACCATGAGGCCACAGGTCTATGGCTCCCTGCCGCTCTACAACTTCCCTCTCTAGGGTATTCCCCAGGTTGTAAAGCAAGAGGAGTGTGACAATATTCCTGTATCCTTAGTACACAGTTGCTGCTGGGCATGCTCACTGACCCAGGAGGGATGAAAACGTGATCTGCGAAGAGCCGGAGCATACACAGTGCTCTTTATACACCCCAGCTAGGGAAGTTAGAGCCTGTGGTATGCCCCTCTGAGGTGCACACTCATACCATACACCTCTGCTTCTGTGCACCACAGCTCTGAAAATCAAATCACATACAAAGCAGCTGCCGGGGTGCAACTCCCCCAACACACACCTGTTGTTATAAATTAAAAATCAGTGTTGGGCTAAATAATGTTTATTATTATTAGCCCTATAGTTATTGCAGTGGTATTATTTAAACTGCTATCACAATTAGACACCTGATATATTTTATAATTGCCTTAAAACACTTTGGGCTGAGCAGATAATCCATCTACACTATTTCAATAACCTCACTATCCACCTCTGAGCTCCCATCCAATGCCGTCCTCCTTAACCATTTTCATCTGGTCTATCTTCCATCTATAGTCTTATAAATACGTGCTTGTATTTTTTATTTGGAGTGGGCCTTTCCACTCCACTCATTATTGGAGTCCTTTCTCTGGACCCACATGGTTTTTTCTCCACGCTAACCCACCATGCTGTCCCTCCTTCCTCTTCTCTTCCCATCTCTCTTTCTTTTTCCCATGATTCCCCTGTTCCCAAAGCCCAGGAACCTTAACCATACCTACCCCATTCAGCCCTGCCCAGGTTTTAGGCCTTTCATCAACCAATCAGCTATAATATCTTAGGCAGGTTTATAGAAGGATAGGTGTATCCAGGCAGTAACCAGATCTTGAGGGCCAGTAATTAGCATAAAAAATACAAGCATCAGAGCAACCCCTAACACACCACTAGAACTGAGTCTGAGGGATTAGGGAGAATTAGAAAATTGGCTAGGCAGGGTGACCCATTTGATTTCCAGAATCCACATCAATCAGCTCACAACTGCCAGCAACTCTAATCTGCAGGGAATCTGATACCCTCTTCTGGCCTCTGTGGGCAAGTTAATAACCTTCCCTGGGTCCCAGTAAAGGAAATTAGCATGAAAATAACAAAGACCACTGAAGCTTGCCTAACCAAAGATGAATAGGGTCACTCTGCTCAAGGTTGTTGGCTCATTAAGTTCAGAAGACTTCTGTGACATGGAGGGATTGCTCTGTGGTCATATTGTTAAAGTAGTGGGCAGGAGGCGATGAGCTGCAAACCGGCATGAAGTTAGTGAGTTCCTGCGTCCCATAAGGAGGGGTGGTTTCCTTCGAATCAAAGAGGGCTGATGAACACAGAGAAAGGGTCAGGAGTGAATGTTAACTGACTTGAAACATCACCAGAAAATTTGCTCTTCTGGAAATGATTGCTTTGGCATCTTCAGGATGCCTAAGGGAATTGAGCCATCTAGGCTAGTTTGTAGTGGATTTTCTATTTCCTTTCCATACTTCATAAATTCCTCCCTGATTCCAACTTCAACAGAGCTACCCCTACTGACAGTCTTGAACCCTGAACCCCTCAGGGATGCTTACCTTCTCAGATGTTGGGTTCTGTTCCCCTCAACTATCAAACCAATTAAGAAACACGCAGACACTACTTCCATAAGAACCAAGCCATACACAAGATTTGACGTTTATCTCTAATCCCTAGGAATGACCTGGTCTATCCCTGGACTCTGTTTCTTACACTTCTAGACAATGAGACAACATTAAAACAATGGAATCAAGTTCAACAGTAGACCAGAGCAAAGATAATTAATGTAGTTGGAACTCTTGTTATAGTTATTAGGCATTATCCATAGTCTAATTATTTTATAAAGCCAGTGTAATTATTATAATCATATTGAAGCAAATATTATTGAATAGAGACAATATATTACTTTAAAATAAAGCATGGCTCTGAAGTCCTCTCTCCTCTGAGACATGGCTTACCTCTCAGTGCTCTTCTTTCACAGTCACCACAAAGTGTTTGTCAAACAGTATCTTGATTCCCCCACACTGAGACAGATCACCTGAAAGCTGTGTGCTATGATGGCAAGCAGTAGTTTCTTCAATCAGAAAACCCAGTTTCAAATCACAGCACTATCAGTCATTCCCTGTGTTGCCTTAATTTCTTATCCAAAACACACTCAGATCAAATGTTGTGTATAGGAAGCACGAGCTGTACCACTGTCTCTAACTGGGCCGCTACACTTGGCAGCCACTGGTGCTATAGTCAGATACCAAGCGTAGAATCAGTCTTCACCCTCCCTGCCTGGTGAGGTAGGCAATGCCTCACCCCATCACCTGCCGCTAAATGTCCTAAAGAGCATCTTCTGACCTTCAAGTAGCCTTGCTTTGCGTGTGTGTGTGTGTGTGTGTGTGTGTGTGTGTGTGTGTGTGTGTGTGTTTAAATCCCAGAGACAGGTCTGGAAGCCCCACTAAGCAGGACTCGGGGAATCTTTGCTTTCATTCACTTCAAAGAGCACAGAACTTGTTTGTTCACACACCTGAAAAAGATTGGCAGCCTCCAGAACCCGCTGAACATTCTGCTTGGTGATCAGAGCCTTGCTTGTGTATGTGTAGTTCAGAAGAGTGTGCATGGTCTCAGCATCCACCCCTTTAATAATGATCCTCTTCTCATACTTTTCCTTTAAGTCGTTGCAGAACATGGCCCTAGAAGAGAGACCTGTGAGGTGAATCCTTCCAGGACCCTGGGTTCCAGACCTGAACAGATCCCGTTTTAGAGTCATTGCCCTCCTGCAACAGTGAAGTCCCAAGGTGAGGACACAAACTGACTGGCAACATAGAAACAGAATCATTTGACTTGCTGACTTCTTGAGATCTTTCCCCTTGGTTCTTTGTCTCTCCATGAATATGCTAATTCAAGGCCTAGCATGAGGAAGAGCTCTCAAATGAAGTCAATGTATTTTAAGGTGTCACATCGTTAGCATCTCTGGGATCATCTGTACACTTAACTGAGCTGTCATTCCTAGATGCAAATACTCTCTTAGAGTCACATGCAGTGGATGACATCTACTCCAGTTTAGCTGATACCTGGATTCCCCAGGAAATTAAGGGAATTAGGGAAGCAGGGAATGGTACATGGAAAGAATGAAGCTAAACAAGACCACATCCATAGCAAAAGTCATCTCAGCCTATTCCTGCAGGGATGTGGTACCGCAGACAGCCTTTAGTCAAGGACCAGTCCAAGAACAGATAATTCTCAAGCAATCTGGTTTTTCAGGAGCCCAGGAGGAAGATGAGAAGTGCTGCTAGATAGCTATGGCAAGCAAAAGAACGCTGGAGTCCAGACAAAGACTGGATTCACTCACTCCATAGCATAAATGAGAAAACACGAATCAAGCCACCTCTTTAATGGTTATTGATAAATCCCTACCTTCCTACTCCCAAACACTTCTTCCAAGTAAGATAATATACACCAGTAAAAACTCAAACAAGCAAGATATTCCAGACCAGCTCAAGGGAATTTTAGCTCGTGAGAGACATGGGGGTGGATGGATGAATTAGTCACTTTTCTTGTTGCTGCAACCAAACACTTAACTAGAAGCAAATAAAGGGAAGAAGAATCCTCAGTCTCCTGCTTTGAGGGCACAGGCCACGTGGGAAAAAAGGCACAACAGCAAGAACAGCTGTGGCAGCAGGAATGTGAGCAGCTTCCTTGCATTTCTAGATCAAAAGGTAGAGACAGGACAGGAAGTGGAGCTGGGCTTTAAGGCTCGAGGTCTGCTCACAGAGACCCACTTCCTCCAGCTAGGTTCCACATCCTCCCCAAGCAGCACTACCAGCTAGGAACTACATGTCCAAACACATGTGTATGCTATGGACAATTCACATCCAAACTCTGAGGGTAGGTGCATACACCACTTCAGCCCTTAGCTTGCCCGTATGTGTCCTGTCTCCATTAGGTTCCCAGCGTCAGAGTTTCTACATGCTGACCACCCTTCATCTACAGCAAAGACAGAGCCAGGGTAACATTAACACTGCTCTAAGGATAGTAACTCCATAACTGTTAATGGGAGAGGAGGGGAAAAGGACGTGTAAGAGAAATGTCTTTCTCTCCAGGGCTCTGTGCACACCTGGCTCCCAAAGTCCCAGCATTTCCTTGATCTCCCCTGACTGCCCTTGACTGTCACTGCCCTTGACCATGGCCACCATGTTGAACTTATGGTCCTACCTGGAGCATAACAGAATACAATACTCAAGAAAATCAGTATGCTACACAAACACTGGGAGATTGACTCAGCATCAACACTGAGTACACTGGGCCAGGTCTTGTTCTCTGATAGCACAGCTGGATTGGTTGTTAGTTATTTACCTCTTAGTGGGGTACATAAGAGCGAAGTATAATGGCATTGACATATGGAAATATCAGCCTGGCAAGGTGGCACGTGCTTGTCATCCCAGCACACAGGATGTGAAGGCAGGAAAATGAGGAGCTCAAAGTCAGCCCAGGCCAAACGAAGCTATCTCCAAAAAAAGCCAAAAGGGAGGGATGGAAAGGCCATAATGAAACCCACTCTTTGTATGTTAACTAAAAGTAATAAAATAATTAAAATAATAGCCAGTTATGATGATACCTGCTAGTAGGATATGCCAAATAAGCAAAGCTAGGAAGATCAGGAGTTCAAGGCCAGCCTATCTGTTTCTTTAGGTATGACAGCATATGCCTTTAGTCCCAGCACTTGAGAGGCAGAGGCAAGCAAGTCTCTGTGGGTTTGAAGCTTGCCTGTCTCAAAAAAAAAAAAAAGAAAAGAAAAAGAGAGAGAAGAATAAAGAAGACCGAAACCGGTAAATAAAGATGACTACCACCAAACATGAAGGCATGAGTTCAATCCCCAAGACCCATATGGTAGAAAGCTAAAACTCCCAGAAGTTGTCCTATGACATCCATACATGCACCCACACACATATTCTCCTATGGCCCCACTTCTGTCAATAACAAAAATAAAAAGAATAAAAAATATAGCACATAAATATAGCATATAAATGAGGTATTATGTAACAAAAAGTAATTTCTAGAAATATATAGAGCAGTGCACATGAGATCCTCATTTTAAAAAAAAATGGTTTCAGAGCAGTAAGCCAGGTGCCCAATACAGTGAATCAATGATACCTCAAGGCAGAGTCTGAGTCACCCAGCACATCTCCCATGACAGCTATAGACATAGCCACACACCCCAGATGAAAGCACTCTGCCTGGGCCACACAGCTCCCCAGTATCCATGGGGCTTACCCCTCAACTGAGGTCTCTCTTCATACGTCATTTCTTCAAAGATGCTCTCTGTTGTGGTATACCAGTCTAAAATCATCACTCCGCATTTATTCCCCTTACTTTTCTTTGTAGAGCTCTCACCAGCTCTCACCAGCTGACACTGCACTATGTACCTACTTGTTCACTCGTTTAACGATTGTCCTCCCAGCTACCATAGGAAGAGAATGAACTGACTGTCATGGTCCTGAATCCCTAGCGCCTAGGACAACGCTTCAGATCCAGGGGAGATTCAGTCTCTAGAGAAAATAAGTAAATCAATAAACGAGTGAGCCAGTGGGCAGATGGTCATTAGAGACGAGACTCTTAGAACTGTTTCTTGTTGGTCATTTGCCACTCTGAAAATTGTCAGGTACCCTGTGGAGGATGAGGAGGAGCCCTACCTCCCACTAAAAAATTCCTATCACAAATGCAGGGCCTGGAATTTGAAAGAGAGGAACCTCTACAAGCATTCCTCTTTCTACTCTGATGAGGTCTGCAGGCCCCTGAATATCCTGAAATGCCACTAATGAAACTTTTCACCCATTCCAACTGACCTATGACTCGCCCTCTCCTCCAGCCTCCCCACCTTAGAGCTCCCTGCCTCACCACCAATCCACCCTATAAATGAGTACTCCCCTAGTCACCTCTACTGCCATGTGCATCTTAACCCGTGCCCGTCCCTCTTACTCCCACACTCATCCCTTCCCCATCCTCTTCATACCAAGAATTTACTTCTCTGCTTCACTAAGATATTCTGTGTTGTGGCACTAACACTAATTGCAAAGTGAGTAAAGTTCAACCCAAGAGTACAAACAAGTAGCTCTCTGTAGATGGACAGAATTATAGTCTGTGATTCTAGCACTCAGAAAATACAATCAGAAGGATTTTAAAATCAAGATCAACCTTGGGGGATGGGGAGATCAACCTCAGATAACTACCGAAAATCTGTTCCAAAGTGTGTGTGTGTGTGTGTGTGTTTATGGTGTTTTCATGTCTATACAACTGGATTAAGACATTGTTTTCAATGTCATCATTAAATACATGATAAGCAGTGTTGTTAAGAAAGAGTTATGGTTTCGATGTAGTTAATCAAAAGGTTTCTATTGCAAAAAATCAGGGAGTCAGCAAATCCAAATGTAATAAAAGACAGAATGGCTTTACTGTCGATGGAAGTCAGAAACTCAGAGCTGCAGGCACCAAAACCTTCCACCTTCCATTTCCAAAGCCAATTATTTTTTTTAAATTAATCCATTTATTTTAATGTGTCTGCATGTATGATGACCACTATGGAGGCCAGATGAGCATCAAATGCCCTGGAACTGGAAATTAGAGATGGTTGTGATCTGCAATGTGAGTACTGGAAATTGAACCCAGGTCCTAGGAACAAGTAGCCAGTGCTCTTAATTGCTGAGCCGTCTCTCCATCCCCTTCCCCAAGACAATTCTAACCAAAGGAAGCACACAGACATTCAGGCCAATGCAGGTTCTGATCTCTACTTATTCTCCAAATCCTATTATATCACATCTCATCATAACTGGAGTCCTGCTTACATCCTCAGCTTCAATCACCACAGCCTCATGGGGTGAGTCACAGTGTAAGCAACAAGGCCAGCCACATCTGAATACTGTGTGGCCTGCTGAGAGCACAGAATCCTGAATTTTACTAAGCCTCAATCAAATGAATTAAAACATTTGTCAACAGGGTTCCCTAGATGCATCTTATTAAACTTTATGCTGGTTCTCATGATTCCTTAGCAAACCAAAACTTAGAAACCACAGCCCTAATCCAAGCCCATACCTATAATTCCAGCACCGAGAGACCGAAGCTGGAAAGACATACAATTAAGGCAAGCCCTGGGCTACTTACGTAGTCTTGGTTACTTTTCTATTGATGTGTTATATCCAAGGCAATTTATGCAAGTTTATTTGGGGCTTAGAGTTCTGAAGGTGAGTCTATAACCGTCATAGCAGGGAACATGGCAGCAGACAGGCAGGCATAACACTGGACAGTCATACTGAGGGCCTACCTCCTAATTCACAAGCATGAAGCAGAGAGAGAAAGCTAAGGAACAGCATGGGCTTTTGAAACCTTAGAGCCCCTGTTCCCCCCCCCCCGTGACCTAAGTTCTCCAACAAAGCCAACCCTTCTATTTCTTCCCAAACAGTTCTATCAAGTGAAGTGAAGATGAAGCATTCAAATATTTAAGCCTACAGGGATATTCTCATTCAAATCACCACAGCTACATGAGAACCTGAGAAAGAAAGAAAGAAAGAAAGAAAGAAAGAAAGAAAGAAAGAAAGAAAGAAAGAAAGAAAGAAAGAAAGAAAGAGGGAGGGAGGGAGGGAGGGAGGAAGGAAGGAAGGAAGGAAGGAAGGAAGGAAGGAAGGAAGGAAGGAAGGAA